ACATCCTATACTGTCACTTCGGCTTCTGTCATAACCGATTCATACGCAAATGCGTCAGCAGTGTCTCTCAATCTTAAAGCGCTGTAACCTTAGCGCTCGAAATGCGTCCAAACCGTTTTGTAACTCAGTATACCAAAGCAACTGAATCGTATCAAGCATACACATTACCATCATTACCCAAAGTAACCAGGCTGACGCAACCATGCTGCTCACAACTAGATATTTCTGATTTATGTGCGCCATATCTTTTCTCTTCCGCGTGGCTCCTTCGTCGCGCGGTATATATCATCGAGTATCTTCCTGATTAAATCCAGAGTGTACAATTTCCGTGAGGAGAAAATCTCTCTATTTTAATCTACGGCGATTCGCGCGCTACTCCGCTACGCGCGCGATGCCGCGCACTTCGTCTTAGTTTTCACGAAAATGTAAGTGGCACGGGTTGCGGTTGGTCAATGTGCAACTCTACTCGAGTTGCTAAATAAAATTAAGCAGGATTTGAATTAAATTTCCACTGAGCCCGCGCAATCGCGCCGGATGCGAGACGGTGACGGCTTACACGTTCCCTTTAATGCGCGATTATTTCAAGACCCGTTCTTTCCACTTCGTTTAAGACCCTCCTCGCTTGTCGTAATTAGCCGGGCGACCCGTGAGTTCCCTCCACGTCCGTGCGAGTATTTTTCATGTGCACGGCATTTGTTAAATATACATTGGATATTTGAGCTCGGCGAGCATACGGCGTTAATTAATCAAATTTCATTTTAACCGAATAAATATCATAGGCTTATACAAAACGAAAACGCAATAATTGCATTTTGCCGATGTTGTAAACTTAATGCATATTGTTAGGACAATTAGAGATCGCACAACTTTTCCAAGCTATAATTATAACCTATCTCATCTAACTTGGCAGAGAGAAGTGAAAATATATAACGCGCGTCCATGTAATAACAGTTTTCAAAAACGGAGGAATATTTTTTTCTACGGTAGATACACGGCGGTTTTATCGTCGTAGAACGATAAAGAGGAAGGGAGGGAATGAGGGAGGGGGG